GTAGCGCAGTACCCTCTTAGCAGCAGCCATGTGCTCAGGTCGGTGCCGACCAGGAGCCACGTAGCGAGCCAGAAGACCAAGAGGGTACGCGAGGTCAGGACGAGTGCAAGTCATCAGGTACATGAGGCAGCCAACTAGCTCTGGGTAAGGACCACTCGGCTCTACGGACTCGTCCGAAGGTGGAGCTGAGAGTGAGTGACCTGTAGCCAGAGGAGTGGCCTGTGCCGAGGACCAGGTGAAGCCGAAGCGCTGAAGGACCTGCTGCACCATGTGTGACTGAGTCAGGGTGATGGTGCGGCGTGCTCTGTCCCGGGTGATCTGCAAGCCAAGGTAGCTGCGCAGTTCACCCAGGTCTGTGCACGTGTGTCTCTTCTGCAGCTCCGACTTCACGTGGGCGAGAGCCTCAGTGTCAGCAGTGGCAAAGACCAAGTCGTCGACTTCGAGAGGAGTACTCACCCGCGACCGCCTCAGCGTAAGAGCGCGGGGTCGGGATGTCTGGAGCATCCGGGTCTCCCTCAGGGGCAAGCAGCATGGACACGAGATGAGGCGCAGCGGCTGCAAGACACTCAAGGTCCTCCTGCCTGTCCTCAAGGACGTCCGTGCCGAGAGCACACTCACCCCCGACGGACGGAGGATAGACAGACTCAGACTCAGCAACAAGACTAGCGGCGTAGTCTAGACGACAGGCAGCAGCAAAGTCGACAAGCTCAGCTACTAGGGCAGACGCAGCAGTGGACTCAAACGACGGGTCAGTGACAACAGTGGCTAACAGACGTGTGACCATAGGGTGCTCAGTACGAAACTGGTCAGACTCAGGGTCGGCAGCGACAGGCAGAGAGGACTCAGGAGGGGACGGCAAAGGAACACAAGGCGAAGAAGAGGAAAGACGACGGACTACAAGGTGGGTGCCTGGAACAGCCCGCTGACGCTGACGAGGAACACGACGACCAGAACGGACAGGCGAGATAGGACGCGACGCAGGCTCACGACGCTCAGCAAGACCTCCTGACTGCTCAGTGTAAGGAGAAGGAGCAGGCAGGGGTGAGCCAGGCTGTAACGGAAGACCAGTAGACGACGGGAGGCTAAGAACCTGGCGAAGCACGGAGGCAGGCGGCGGAGAAGGCGGAGCAAAGAACAGGCGTGGCTGCGCGGCGCCACCAGCAGTAGCGGCTCCAACACTCTCAGCAGCTCCAGCACCCCCAGCATCTCCAGTACCTCCAGCAGCGCCAGCACCCTCAGCAGCTCCAGCACCCTCCGTAGCTCTAGCACCCTCAGCAGCTCCAGTACCCTCAGCAGCTCCAGCACCCTTAGCAGAAGCACCCCCAGAACCAGCACCTCCAGTCCCAGGGTCACCAGCCTCAGTGTCTCCAGCAGCAGCACCCCCAGAACCAGGGTCTCCAACAGGAGTACCCTCAGGCTCAGCAGCACCTCCAGCCCCAGCAGTTCCAGTACCTCCAGTACGAGCACCTCCGAGACCAGCACCACTCCCAGCTCCAGTAACGGCAGTAGAAGTACCTCCAGCAGCAGAGCCCCGAGCTCCAGAAGCGCGACCCTGACGGCGACCGTACCAGTCGTGCAGCTGCTGTGAGGTGAGAGGCACACGCGCACGAAGACGGGTACTCCAAGGAGACCGCGGAGCAGCAGTCTCAGCACCCCCAGACTCAGCACCCCCAGGCTCCGCACACGCAGGCTCAGCACCCCCAGACTCCGCACCCCCAGGCTCCTCACACGCAGGCTCCGCACCCCCAGGCTCAGCACCCCCAGTCTCAGCACCCCCAGGCTCCTCAGGCTCAGGCTCCGCACCCCCAGGCTCAGTACCCCCAGACACAGCACCTCGAGCAGGACCACCCCCAACAGGACCTGAGTCACCAGTGACCTCCACAGGCGCAGTCACCTTGCCGCCCCTGCCACCGCCGCGCTTCCCACTAGGAGCGGAAGCCGCTGCAACCTTCTCAGCACCGAGGAGGTCGACTGCAGCAGCAGCTGAGGCATAGGAGGGGGCAAGAGGGGAGGGGGAGCACCCCTCAAAGAGGGGAGTGCGTGGAGTGCCACGGGCAGCACCTACAGCGAGGATGTTCTTCTCTGCTGCTAGGAGCTGCTGCTCGAAGTCGGCTAGCGTGATAGTGGTAGGGTCCTTGGCGAGGAAATGGTCCCTGACCGAGCTAAGAGTGTCAGGGAGGCGAGTGACGAGGATGTAGAGGGTAAAGTACAGCGGTGGGGTGTTCGTGGCGAGGAACTCGTCGGTAAGAGCGGCACGAAAACGGGCGTCACTAGCGCGGAGGTGAGAGATGAGGTCCTCAGCGGTGGTAAACGAGGATAGGTCGGGGAACAGGTAGGGCAGGATGAGGCGTCCTACGGCTGCAGTGGCTGGGGAGGAATAGCGCGCAACTACAGCGTCATACAGCGCCTTAGCAGACTTGTGCTGACTAAAATGCGTGCGCTCAGCGATAGGCAGGTGGTTACGGATAGCGAGGCGCGCAGCAGCATCGCGAGTCTGCCACTGTGAGCGGTCAAGAACAGGATCAGTGGCAGAAGGGGCAGCGGCAGTGCCTGACGCGTGATCGAACAGAGAAACGCCGTCTTTGGCATCCGTCATAAGAAATAGCTGCAGGTCGTCAAGCCAAGTGGCAAACTCTATCGGGCGACCGTCAGGCTCAAACGCGAGAACGTTAAGCGTCGCCATTACAGCAGCGTAGGCAAAGGCAGCAGACCACAACAGCTATCAGGCTCACAAGTCAGGCTGGCGCAATGGATGCAAGGCGCAAGGCAGGCAGGCAGGCCAGCAGGCAGGCCAGTAGGCAGGCAGGCAGGCCGGCAGGTGCAAGGCAGGAAGGTGCAAGGCAAGGCAGGTGCAAGGCAGGGCAGCAAGTGCGCAGGGCGAGGCGGCAGCGTGCAGGCAAGGCAGAGCGCAGCAGCGACAGGCTGCGCGGGGCTGCAAGCTGCACGCGGCTGCGGGCTGCTCGGGGCGACGTGCTGCGCGCGGCTGCAGGCTGTGCCCGGCGTCGGGTGGCAGGCTGCGGGCTGCGCGCGGCTGCAGGCGACGGGCGGCTGAGGCAGGCAGCGCGACGTACTAAGCTGCAGCGGGCCGTTCGCGAGGTGCAGCAGTGGGGCGCGCTAAAAAAAAAGAATTTTAACGGGCGCGCGCAGCCGAGGCGCGCGCGGACAGTAGGCAAGGCAGGTAAGGCTGTAGGGGCAGACAATGGTGGGCCCGAATCTCAGGTCATAAGGACCTATTGCTCTAGTCACCATGTTAAGAATACTAGGCAAGGATGTGTGTGTTAGGTCAAGGTGGGTACAGGACTAGAATGTCGAGGGAAATTGTGTACCCCCTAAAGCTAGCCCCAATACAGCCTAACTAAACAATAAGCATATAGTTTGACAACGCGGACCCTGTGTAACACGCCCTAATAACGGCATTCCCTGCGATAGCCATTTGATGCCATGAGTTCCTAGGACCCCAAGGTTGGTCTCTCAAAAAGAGTCCTCCATTAGCCTTTTGTGCCAAGGTCCGAACTAGCCAAGAAGTTGCGAATAAGCGAGTTGACCATGCTGAATATGGTGTTACTGGGAGAGAGGCCTTGGCAGCAAGAGCTTCCGTACAGCAAACACAAAATGTACACATGTGAGTGTTGCACATACACCTCTAGGGAAAGAGAAAGACCATTGATCAGGTACTTGTAAGTGGCGACACCTAAGAAACCAAGGCGTCACTGGTGAGCAATGCAGCAACGCGACACCAAATGAGGCAATTGTAGACATTGTCGCGCCACAAGGCCAGAGCGAGCGCCCATCACCATATTCGCTCTATTAGTGGGTGTGATAAACGAAATAGCATAGCTTTTTCAGCAGTCAATAAGGTAAAAAATTCGAACGCAAGGATGTTGTCATGGATGAAGGTGGTGCAGAGATACTTGCAGCGATCCATGCTCTCGTCGACACTGAATTCGCGGAAGGGACTCACTAAAATGTGTTCCAATTGCATGGTTTGGTTTGGAAAGATGTTGATGTCGCTGATGTCAGCTTACTGTATTCGTACTTGCACGATTCAATCGACGCACGATGAAAGCAACACATAGGAGTAAACGAGGGCCTCATATTTTTTTTTAGGGACCGTGAGCCTTCAGGGCAGGGTTATAAAAATTTTGTAGTCCTCAAGGCAAAGCCCTCAGACACACCTTGATTTCTCAAGTCATGACACAACAATACTCTGAGCCTTCAGGGCATTTTTTTTTTTTCCACCGATAGCACTAATTTGACTTTGTAATACATTGCGTGCAAGTTCACTGTGGTTAAACTTGTACCTATTAGGTCCTACCTAGCTAGATCAGCAGAATAGTACTTACAAGGCAAGAAAGGAATCTGAACTCCACATTAAACTAGTAGTTCTCGCCATCAGAACAAGAACTAGTGCTGCTATGACTGGCCAGTTTGGGCCTCGCACCTGCTGACTTCATGAAAACGGTTAAAGCCCAAGACCCGTATTACAAAACGGAGAGGCAAAATGTGCACGCTGGAGAATAAAGACGTTGTTGACGATGTTTGATGTGACGTGACTCACCCGCCAACAGCTGACAGCCAGCATACATGTTTGTGGGCGTAGCAAGATGCCGCAGAACTATGCATACACGAGGTATTTTTCTAGACTCTAAAGCAGGGCCCAAAATTGGTTTTTGGCCACCCTGGGAAATCCAGGCAGGCCCTCAGATTCGTTTTTGGCCTGTCTGATTTGTCAGACTTGGTACACTGAAAGTGTCTGATCAATCGGAGTCGGTTAAAAAAAAAAGGCTGAAATATCAGAGTCTGTAGTAAAAAAAGTCTGAATATTTAGAGTCTGTACTAGATTTTCGTCTGATTGTAACTTCCGTTCTGAAGGACCATCTCCCGTCTGTCCGTTGTTGTTGTTAAACTACACTACTAGTTACCAGACACAACATCCATATAACCTAAACATGCTATGGTTGCATACTAGCTAGCTAGCTAGCTATCCTATCCTATCTAGGCTAATCATTGAGTCCATCATCGCTATCACATGCATCATCATCTCCTAGGTCGACTACGACCACCTCCTCTTCCACAGGCTCCTTGCCCGACCTGTTCTGTTGCTTCCCTCCAGTGATAGGAGCGTTGTTGTGGGGCTTGCGCTTCTTGTAGCTCCTCCAGATCCCCACGATCTCCTCCCAGTTCGGCTCATACTCCATGAGGCTCATGCACATGAGGTCTCCTAGCCTCGCATCCTTCAACGAGACTCGCTGCCACGACTTAATAATGTTTTGCCGGGAGAACCCTTTCTCGCACTCCACGGTGCTCAGCGGCAGAACTGCTACCGCCAGCCGCAACTGCACCAGGTTGGGGTAGTTGTCGCGCCAGTCTGGTGTCTTCAGCATAGCGGTGAGTCCTGCGTTGAAGCTGCGCTCGTTCTTGTTGGAGGCTGCCACCACGGAGGTGAACATGCGCAGCTCCTTCTGCGCACGTCGCTTGTTGATTCCTGACGGGGAAGCAAACGTAGAGACACAGGAAAACGAAATTAAGATCAATGCACTGCGTTACTTCACACATGAAGACACAACAATGTGGCGGCTAACAAAAAATGCCAAGCAAGCACATTCAGCGAGGATGGCAATACGTGCTTACCTGGCAGAATTTCGTCACAATCGTCGGCCTTGAACAGTGTGACGAGGGACCCCAGCCACTGGAGGCATCTCATATTCCTCTCTCCACGTTCCAGTGGCCACTCATCAGGGGTGAACAGCTTCGCCCCTGACATTCCCTCCAGGTCGCCAAGCCGCGATTCCAGCTCGTGGACGATCTTCTCCGCGAACTGGGTGCACACGTCCACGCAGCCATCGTGATTTGCGGGACCCTCGAACTCCTCCAGGGCGTCCTCATGCAGCTTGAATTTGAAGCGTGTGGGGCGCCTGTCGGAGTCCACACCCTCAGCAATCACCTCCTTGTTACATCCAGGCCCATGACGCGCGAGGAAAGGAGACAACCTCTCGCTCAAGCCAGCACCGAAGTCGTCGCCGCAGTCGACATAGCGGCTCTCGATGTGGGAGGTTGTGCGCCTGATCTGCGCACTGACGCTGGCATAATCCAGCTGATGACAACGCAAGAAATGCAAGGAGGGTTGTTTGTCGCAGTCATTGAACATTGCAGAGGCAAAGGTACGTGTAACGAATGGAACAAAACATAACTCCTGCTCACCTCCTTGTGCTGGAAAGCCCGGTTGAGGATGTTGAGCTGCTCCAGCACGTCAGCAATGAAGAACAGGAGGAATTGAAACCTGTAGCTTGTCACGAGCGCGTACAGGGTTTCATCCCACTCCTTCAGCATCACGATGAGAGCAGGCAGCACGGCGATAAGCCTCAGCACGGCATCGCCTCGCGAGAGCCAGCGAACTGCATGTATCCCTTGCAGTTCCAGTCTTGTCAACGTGAAAATCTCTTGCAGGCCCATGAACCGCTGGTGCCACGGCCCGGACCTGCCGAGATGCTCCGCCACGGTTCGAATCACTGTGTCGATGATGTCGAAGGCTGGGATTTTCTCAGAGGCATGCTTGGCAGCCAGTGCCTCCCTGTACATAGAAAAAGAACCATGTTAGAATCTAGCATGTCAATAACAGTAAGAAAATACACGAGTAGCCACACGATTGATATATCTGTGCGCGATGCAATGCGACGACACCAAGTGGGGAATGCGCAGTCAGAGGCGTGTCACCAGGCCCGACTTGCTGCCCATCATGACATTGGCACCATAGGTGCTGATGCCCGAGATCCGCCTCAAGTCGACGCCAACTGCCTGGAGGTGTGACAGAAGCAAACTTAGAAGCGAGGCGGCGTCCGCCTTCTCCACTGTGATAAGCTGCATGAACTCCGTGACAGGCTTGCAGTTGCGGATGAAAGTGACGTAGAGGATTAGGTGCTTCCCGCTGCACCGATCCGTGCTCTCGTCTAGGGAGATGCCGATGAAGGGACTTGAAAGCAGATGCTCCAGCTGGGTTGTTTGAAGCTACGTTGCACTCGACTGCGTTAGCTCCCCGAAACCGTACCTGCACATCAAATAACACGGTCAGTTAACTTGGTTTATCAAACATGAATTGCAGAGCATCATAGATGTGCAACTGCTGCAGAACAAGTAACATTTGCACTCACGTTGTATAGTATGTGCCGTAGCCCTTCTTGGGGAAACCCTTCACGCCCTTCTCCGACAGGTACCGAACAAGCTTGACCCACATCCCCATAGGCGCATCACACTTGCTGACGAACAGCAACGAGTCAAGAAGGGAAACAACGCGCAGCTTCTCCTCGTCGACAGTGACTCGAAGCTGTTCGATCAGAGGCTGCCTTGTCCCACCTTCCACTAACGCGGTGAAATTAGACATCGCCAGCTTGTGCTTGTTAGAAGCGGCGTGCTTCCGGAAGGATTGTGTCTGCACATCTGTGGCACCTTTCCCGCGCCTCCCGCACTTGCTTGCGTCGCCAGCATGGGCCTGACAAACACTGCACTTAAACGCAGGGAGTCCAGTAGAGGTTTTAGTTAGCACAAGCCACGAAAAACGGCCACGCCACTGCGTAGTGAACTTTTCATGTGCATCCTCATACACATCATGGATGAGCTGCGCTAGATTTATGTCAAGTCGTGGAGGCGGCCGTTCAGATGGGCCAGCTTCGTTGTTGTCAACCGCTGTCATTGCAGACGCCTTCGCGAAGCTCAGTGTAGCCTGCTTCAGACGGACGTTGCGCGCTTTGGTGGCGGCGGTGGGCTCACAGACGTGATGCGGGGCTGAACCAACGGTAGGTTCTTCCTCCGTCACTATCACAGTATCAGTTGGAGATGATACCGCTGGTGCTGGTTTAGGAGGCGTGGGGATTGTATCAGGACTGGCGCGAGCCGCCTTATCGAGTGCTAGCGAGCTAAGCAAAAAGTCTAACACCGTTCTGACGTGAGGACCGTCATCATCCTCATCGCCTGTGGCACCATCGGCCTGGAAAGCCATCACGGGGCCTGAGAAAGCCTGCCGAGCAGGAACTAGAAAGGTGTGGGTAACAGCATGTTGAAGCACGGTGTGGGATGAAACCCTAGCTAAAACACAAGGCCCTTTACCCCTCCACGGGCCATCAATGAAAGGGATGTGGTAGCATGCACCGCAACGACGAGGCGCTACTGCCATGCACGGCTGTCTGCTATGTTTCGATGCTGCAAAGGGGGGGAATGTGGTACTCGGAAAGTCCTTGTTGGCTCGAAAAGCTGCCACAAGGATCAATCAGCACACAAAGAAGGTGTGCGCTGGTGTTTACGTGGGAAAAACCGCGCCGCAGGGCGGCTCGCTGCCAAGACTTGACTGTTGTCCCACATATAGCGTGATTGACGGGACAACAGACAAATGCAACCGCTAATCCCGGGTGTCGGCTCCAGCCCAGGTACTTTGAATCAGAGTCGGTACGCGATTGTACTCAGATGGATCAGAGTACACTTAGTAAAAAAACTGATTTATCAGACTCAGCCATAAAAAAAAAAAAAGCTGAAACATCAGAGTTGAGTCTATAAAAAAATCTGAACTTTCAGAGTCCACTATAAAAAAAAAGCTGAAATTTCAGAGTTTTTCTTCCTAATCAGAAAAAAAATTCTGACTTCTGGGGGCCTGAATCCAGGCATCTGATAGGCCTACCTTGATGGTAGGGTAAAAAAAAAAAAAAAAAAGCCTAACAAATCCAGTGCAAAAAAATGACTTACTCTGTTCGTGGCAGGGTAATCGGTACAATGTTTACTGTTGTTACATTAACTATAAAAAACAAAGTGCATAGATTCCAGCTTGAAGTGTTGTGTTAGAATATAGTGTATTATTATATAATTGCATGTTTTAACTAGTAGTGTAGGGTCTTGGTGGTATACCCCCCAGTGAGAAAATTAGAACAAGAATGAATGAACTATGAAATGAAGTGAGTACAAATATGAAACCCTAATTGGTTGTACCCCCTATGGGATACCCCACTATAGCCTACACAACAGCATAAGCTATAATGTTCTGACACACCCCCATAGGCAAAGTGGGGGAGAACAAGGGGTCACAAGACCAGTCAAGCAAAGTAAAGCAAAGCAAGCTCAGGGTGGATCACAAAGTCACCACACAGTCCGAGCACAGGGTCAAGGCCACACGGCCAGTTCACATGCAAGAGTACACACATATATATAAAGCTAGACAAGCAAGAGCAGGTATATATATATGTGAGAGTACAAGCAAGGTCAAGAGGAGAGCAAGTGAGGCAAGACGGGCACAAGACCCAGCTGAGTGCAGAAGCGCTGATGATCACAAGGCGGAAGTGCCTTGGTGAAGACATCAGCAGTGTTGGCCTCAGAGGCCACGTACGCAAGCCGCAACTGTCCACGTTGCTGTAGCTCACGAGCAAGGAAGTAGCGGAGAGCAATGTGCTTTGTTCTGTGCTCCAGTCGCTGCTCTCGACACAAGGCCAGCATGGCCTTGTTGTCTACGTACAGGACTGGAGGAGAACGAGGCGGCTCTCCAAGGTCGGTCAGCAGGTAGGTGAGCCAGCGAAGCTTCTGTGCAGCCATGGCCCCGGCGTAGATCTCAGCCTCACAACTCGAGCCAAGAACAGAAGACGAGCGAGTAGCCCGCCACGAAACAGAGCCGGAACCAAGGCTGAAGGTGTAACCCTGTGACGACCGCTGCGTAGCCTGGTCGTCAGCCCAAGAAGCGTCCGCGTGCCCAGTGAGGACCACTGGACTCCGCCCTCCAAGCACTAGCCCCATGCCCGACGTACTGCACAAGTAGCGCAACACCCTCTTCGCTGCAGCCATGTGCTCTGGTCTGTGTCTCCCAGGAGCAACATAGCGTGCAAGAATGCTAAGAGGGTATGCAAGGTCAGGTCGTGTGCAGGTCATCAGGTACATGAGGCAGCCAACAAGCTCTGGGTACGGGCCACTCGACTCTACTGACTCATCCGAAGGCAGAGCTGAGAGCGAGTGGCGAGTAGACAGAGGAGTGGCCTGAGGCGAGGAGTACGTGAAGCCGAAGCGCTGAAGGACCTGCTGCACCATGTGTGACTGAGTCAGGGTAATGGTGCGGCGTGCTCTGTCCCGGGTGATCTGCAAGCCAAGGTAGCTGCGCAGTTCACCCAGGTCTGTGCACGTGTGTCTCTTCTGCAGCTCGGACTTCACGTAGGCGAGTCCAGCAGTGTCAGCTGTGGCAAAGACCAAGTCGTCGACGTACACGAGGATGTAGAACGGCGGCAGAGAGGTGTCGGTGCGTAGAAACAGCGACGGGTCGGCAGTAGAAGGAGCAAACCCAAGAGCCGCAAGCGTAGTCCTCAGTGTGTCGTGCCACTCACGTGGCGCCTGGCGGAGACCGTAGACTGGACGCCGGAGACTCCACTGGGTACCAGGAGGGAAAGACCCAGTGAAGCCAGGTGGGCGACGCAGCCAGATCTCCTCGTGCAGGCTGCCCTGCAAGAAAGCTGTGCTGAAGTCAAGAGAGTGCAGCTCGTAGTCACGGTGAGCAGCAACGTGCAGCAGTACCCGAAGAGTGGTCATCTTCGGGGTGGGGGAGAAGGTCTGAAAGTAGTCAACTCCCTGCCGCTGACTGAAGCCACGAGCCACGTAACGCGCCTTGAAGACAGGCGGAGAACCCGGCGGCCGCTTCACCCTGAAGATCCACATGCCACTGACGATGTTCGCCCCAGGAGGGGGGACAGCGTCAACGTAGGTGCCTGTGGACTTCCAGGAAGCCATCTCTGCATCCATAGCTGCCTGCCACTGAGAGGAGTAGGGACCCTCTATCGCCTCCGCGTAAGAGCGCGGAGTCGGGATGTCAAGTGCATCCGGGTCTCCCTCAGGGGTAAGCAGTACGGACACGAGATGAGGTGAGGCAGCTGCCAGACACTGGAACTCCTCCTGCCTGTCCTCAAGGACGTCCGTGCCAAGGGCACACTCACCCCCGACGGACGGAGGACAGACAGACTCAGACTCAGCGACAAGACTAGCAGCGTAGTCTAAGCGACAGCGAGCAGCAAAGTCGACGAGCTCAGTAACGAGAGCAGACGCAGCAGTAGACTCGAAAGAAGGGTCAGTGACTACAGTAGCAAGGAGACGCGTCACAGTAGGACTGGCAGCACGAAGAGAGTCCGACTCCGGGTCGGCAAGAGCAGGAAGAGAGGACTCAGGAGGAGAAGGCAAAGGGGCACGCAGAGGAGCAGTGGACGGACGCAGAGACATCCGGTGCGTGCCAGGGACAGGAGGAGGACGCTGACGCGAACCGCGACCACTAGTGCGAGCAGCACGGACAGGCGACGCAGGGCGAGACGCAGGCTCACGACGCTCAGCCAGACCTCCAGTAGGACCAATGTAGGGAGAAGGAGCAGGCAAAGGGGAGGTAGGCTGCAACTGTAGCTGGGACGAGACAGGCTGTGGACACTCTAAGGGAGGAGGAGGACCAGTAAAAG